ATAACCTTCCCCATGCCTAAGAAAAGTTAAGTACTTTCTGCCCTAGCAACTTTTGTTCAAATACATATTAAGCTATATGAATTTTTCCAGCAACATCCAAGACCCATGTCTGAAATATTCCTATCAGCTAACCTTTAGTTGTTTTTTTTTTTCCCCCCCCAAGACAGGGTTTCTCTGTGTAGCTTTGCACCTTTCCTGGATATCGCTCTGTAGATCAGGCTGGTCTGGAACTCAACAGAGATCCGCCAGCCTCTGCCTACCAAGTACTGGGATTAAAGGCATGCACCACCACCGCCCGGCTCAGCTAACCTTTAGTTATCAGAGCACTGCTTATAAGGAAACAGTTGTGTACATGACCTCACTAGGTCCTACATTCAAAGAGCAAAAAACACCTTGGTTCACCTTTATATCTCAAATGCCTAATCCTTGGTAAATACTCAGCATCTGCTACCTACAAAGGAACAGAAACCAAATGAAATCAGAAGAAACTTTAAAATGTCCAAGTTTTAACTCCCCCAGCATATTCATTCATTCATTCATTCATTCATTCATTCATTCATTCTCTCTCTCTCTCTCTCTCTCTCTCTCTCTCACACACACACACACACACACACACACACACACACACACACACACACACACACTTCTCTTCCTATAATCTCTTAGTAAATTACCTACCCATCTTCCCCAACCTGAAATCTGAGAATGCTCTTAGATTCTCCATCTGGCCACTTATATTGGAAGCAATACCAAGTTATGTCTCAGCCAACTAACTTCCAAACCTTCCCACTTTTTTCCATCTTTTGTGATAAAGACCACCCACCCATACTAGAGCTAGAGTCCTTTAAACATCACTTCATACTGCCTTCTTCTCAAGTCTTCCTTCATTTTAATATCTTGCATCCATTTAAATGGAAAATGTAAAATTTAAACTTCCATAAGTATTGTTAGTCCCGAATGATTAACCCCTTGCTCACTTCTCACTTCTACCCCCTCCAGTCAGGTTCTCAGAATGATTACACTTTCAAGCCTCATGTTCTCCCCCTGTTCTAGCCAAATGACACTCTCATTAGCCATATCTATTATCAGATTCCAAGACAGGACACAAATGCCTCAAAGATATTCACCAATGTCTATAAACTAGGCTAAAGGCTCCATATTAACCCATCTGTCCCTGTATTTCCCAAATAAATTCTGGTTACAACAGACTTGTTGGATATCAATGTCTTCCCCCTGAATCTGTAATTCCAGCAAGGCAAAAAGAAATCATCTCTGTCTGAACTACCAGAGTGGTCCAGAAATCAAGGATCTATGTGCAGCATACAAGCATACAAAAAATATTAGCCCAAAAGACTACTGCCATCTTGTTAACTCTTTAATATTCTTTAAATTGTGATTCACAAGCTTAGTAGTAGGCCATAAAACTAATCAAGAGGCTCTGAAAAAACCCAAACTAAATACCTGGATGTGGTGGCACATCCCTATAGTTCTAGCACTCAAGGAGGCTAAAGCAGAAGGGAGAGAACAGCCGAGTCCATCATCAACAGGGTGAGGAGACGGCTCAATCGGGGAAGTGCTGCCACTCAAGCACCAAGACCTGAGTTTGGCCCCAGCAGCCATGTAAAAGCCGAGCAGTGACACTGTGATCCTGACCCTGAGGAAGCTCAGAGAGGACACGCCCTGAGCCTTGCTGTTCACACTGTCAAGCTTAATCAAGGAGCTTCAGATTCAGTGAGACCCAGTCTCAAAAATTAAGGTGGGGAGTGATTACAGAAGACACCCCAAATCAACCACTGGTCCACATACATACAGGAACTTAAAAACACATACACAATAACTTTACACTGTGACCAGGGTTTCTGGTTCTACATATAAATGTAGTTTTTAATCCTTAAACTAGGTATTGATGGCTCAGACCTGTCATCACAGTCTACAGGAAGCTCAGGTAGGATTGTCTAAGACTGTCATTCATGCCGGGCGGTGGTGGCGCACGCCTTTGATCCCAGCACACGGGAGGCAGAGCCAGGTGGGTCGAGGCCAGCCTGAGCTACAGAATGAGTTCCAAGAAAGGCACAAAGCTACAGAGAAACCCTGCCTCAAAAAACCAAACAAACAAATGAAAAAAAAAAACAAAAAAACTGTCATTCAGTATGTTTGTATTTCTTAGTGTGATTAAAAAACAACAACAACAACAAAAAAAAAAAAACACCAAGAAGTATTGCATTTTTCCTCTTTCTTTATTAAAAAAAAAAAAGTATCTTTTGGCCAGGCATGGTGATTCTACCCTCAGAACACCAGGCAGGTAGGAGCTATCGGAAGAGATCTGAAGGGAACCTGAACTACTGGGCGGCTATCACAGTGAGTTCCAGGCCACCTTGTAGTACAGACTCTGTCTCAGAACAACACCACAAACAGTCCCTGAAGAGACAGCTCATCAGTAAAGAGCACTGATACTTCAAGGGTTCAATTCCCAGCACCCACATGGTGCCTCACAACTGTCTGTAACTCCAGTTCCAAAGGATACAATGCCCTCTTCTGGCCTCTATGATGCCAGATAAACACACATACATACACATACATGCATACAAAATACTCACACATAAGTAAAATGGGAAAAAAAAATCCCATCTAGACAAACAAATGGAAACTGGAAAAAAAATTAGTGCTCAATCACACAACTTTTGCAAAAAAAAAATTATCCTTATCTTAAACACTGTCAATAGGAACAATCTGCTTTCCAGTTTCTCACACTTTCTTTAAAAAAGATTTATTTATTTATTATGTATATATACAGCATGTATGCCTGCAGGCCAGAAGAGGGCACCAGATCTCTTTATAGATGGTTGTGAGCCACCATGTGGTTGCTGGGAATCGAACTCAGGACTTCTGGAAGAGCAGTCAGTGCTCTTAACCTCTGAGCCATACCAACTCATTTTTTTTTTTTTTTTTTTTTTTTTTTTTGTTTTTTGTTTTTCGAGACAGGGTTTCTCTGTGTAGCTTTGCGCCTTCCTGGGACTCACTTGGTAGCCCAGGCTGGCCTCGAACTCACAGAAATCCGCCTGGCTCTGCCTCCCGAGTGCTGGGATTAAAGGCGTGCGCCACCACCGCCCGGCACCAACTCATTTTTAATTACTTAGATACAAAACACTGTGTGGCAGCACATACATTATTTTTGGGTTTGTGTGTGTGTGGGGTTTTTTTTGTTTTGTTTTGTTTTTACTTCACTTTTATTTTTTCTTAGAACAAGACCTCACTCTAATCCAGGCTGGCCTAAAATTTGCAGTTTCTTGCTTCCAACTGCCAAATGCTAGGATTACAGGTACATCGTGATTAAGAGTACTTTTATTCTTATTTTTGCCTCTCTGCTCCCATATTCTTTGCTGAAAGATTTAATCTTTCAGATGCACAACTCTGCTACAAAACTTACTTGATCACTATTCCTAAACTCTAAGTCCTTGCCTTTGTCTTTATCCCATTTTATTTATATATATGACCATTAAAATAAAACCCTACCACTAATTTCCTGTAGTGGAGTTGGCAGCAACTAGTTAACATAATGTACACACATTGTGCAACATCAAGTGCTGTCTTATTTAGTTTTATTTTGTCCCAGGGTCATTTTATGTAGCCCTGGATAGCCAGAAACTGTATCACTTTGTAGCCGAGGCTAAACTCTAAGGGGAAATAATAAGTATCATCTTCCTAGAATTCTGGAATTTATGTAAATACTACCACACACAGCTTTCCTAAATCATTTTATAGAGAATTCTCACTTATTCCTCCCCACAACACTACAATAGTGGGTGCTACAGATAAGAAAAATGACCCATAAGTCATGTTACTGGCCCAAGGTTCAGTTAATAAATATAGGCATGGGATTCTCAATTCTAGAAGTCTGACTCTAGTACCCATTTAACCAAACCCCCTTTTTTCCCTCCAGAGACAGGGTCTCACTATGTAGCTCTGGCTGTGCTGGAACTAGCTCAGTAGACCAAGTTGACCTCAAACTCACAAAGAGCTACCTTTCTCAGCCTCCAGTGCTGGGATTAAAAGCACGTGTCACCACTGTCAGCCACTCATCTCTTTTGTTCATTAGGTTGTCTTTTTTTTTTTGAGACAAGATCTCACTACAAGTAGCCTTGGGTGGCCTAGAACTAGCATGTAAACCATGCCAGCCTCAGAAGTATTTTTCTCTCTCAACAAAATTGCAGACTGCTCTTTGAGGCATTTATTTTAAGAATCTACATCTAAAAACAAATTTTATCTGGAGCTGGAAAATGGCTCAATGGTTAAGAGTACTTACTGCTCTTACAGAAAACCTAGGTTCGGTTCCTAGCACCCTCCTGGCAGCTCCGGTCTCAGGGGATCCACACCTTCTTCTGATCTGAGGGCACCAGACACATACATATATACATACATACACACACACATGCAAGCTAAATATACACACACAAAATAAATATATAACTAAAAGTTAAAAAACAATCCAAATTGCTAAGAGGCTTAATTAATCAATCAATATTTACTCTCTTAGCGCCCCATTGTGTATGTTCATGTTCATCACAGCACGCATGTGGTGGTCAGAGAACAACTTTGTAGAGCCGGTTCTCCTTTTTATCTGGAACCTTTACATGGGTTCTTCTAATTGAACTAAAGTCTACAATATTGCACAATCAAGTACTTTTACCCACTCAGCCATCCTGGCAGTCCCATTTTAAACTCTCCAAGAAATGAGCAATAGAAAAATCTGTATCAAAATTTCAGAAGAAACTACTAACCATCATATGAAAACAGTCATTTGCAAAAATCAATATTGTTGTCATTTGCAAAAATCAATATTGTTATTTTGGTTTCTTGGTTTTGTTTCTTTAATTTTGTTTTGAAACAGGGCCTTACTACACCATAGCCAGGCTGGCTCAAACTCTCAATCCTCCTTGCCATAGCGCTGGAATTATAGGTGTGCACAAATGAACACATCCAACTCAAAATTTATTAATTTTTAAAATATGGAACACCTCACAAATATTCATGTCATTCTTTGCAGAGGGGCCAATGCTGATCTTTCTGTATTGTTCCAATTTTAGTATATATGCTGCCAAAGCAAGCACAAAATTTAATGTTTTAATTTGTCTTAATCTTTAGCATAAGTTGTTTCACTTACCCATTAATTTCACTAACATTTCTCACACTCAAAATAACTTCAAGCCAGGTGTAATGCAGATGCCTGTAGTCCTAGCTACTAAAGAGGCTGAACTGCAAAGTCAGTTGAACCCTAGAGTTTCCAGACCACCTAGGCAACACAGCAAGACCCCATTGCAAAAGGGAAAAAAAAATCTGAAAACCACAAAATAATTATTTCCTATTTTCCAGTAACTAATTGTTGGGTACTATAAACTGGCAGAATGACTTCTGAATAGTTTCTGTAAATTTACCAGGAAGAACTACTTTATATTCCCACTTGTATCAGGTAATATTCTTCCTACAATTCTTCCCTTTCTTTAACCTTTAAATATGTCTACAAATATCACTATGCACTGACTTTCAAGTTTCAAATTATTTTCTTCTATGAATAAACTAGACAAGATAGAAAATAAGATGGCAAAAAGCAAAGGCAGAAAACCTCTTCACCCTCCCTAGCATCAATGCACTGGGCATGCTATGCTAATACAGTCTCTACTTAAGCAATAAAACACAAGCTCTTGCTGGGAATCACCACCTGTATTATAACACACAGGACTTAGAACTTAACAAAATGTCATTTATCTCACTCTCAACCAAACAATCTTAAGGTCCTATCAATAAATTTACAAGGCCTTGAGAAATTTAAGGCACAGGGCAAAGTATTCTGCTATATTGCACCACAGTCAGCAATACCTCATCTGATCAATACCTATCTGATTCAGAAACAACTCTAATATACATTTTCTAACTTAAAAAAAAGAAAGCAAAACAAAATTAAAACATAATGATAAGGTCTGAGCTAGGAAAAAAAATCTACTCCATAGAAGTAGTCTAAGTAGGATAGTAAGTCACTTAAACAATGTTACTCTGAGAAAAATAAAACACATAAAATGTGTGACTTGCCCCTATAATCCCAGCACTGGGGAGACAGAGGCAAAAAAAAAAAAAAAACTGTAGCAAAACAATCATCCTTACCAGTTCTCTAGGGTATACATTAACCTAGTGGTCAAAATTCAAGTATACTTTATATACTATCTCTTTAGTGCCTTTGAAATTGGGGGAAAGGAATTTGTTTGGGGCATAAACCCAAGCCAATCCATTTACCCATACAGTAGGGCTAGAGGAATCTTTACCCTACTTAATTGTGATCGACCTAAAACTGTCACCCATCTTTACAAAGCAAGTTAAATGCTCCCCTTATCCCCCCATCCCAAGACAGGATTTATCTGTGTAGCCCTGGCTGTCCTGGAACTCACTCTGTACACCAGGCTGGTCTCAGAATTCACAGAGGTCCACCTGCTGAGTGCTGGGATTAAAGGCTTGTGCCACCACCGCCCCCTTAAGTGCTCTTAAGTGATTTCCAAGCAGTGACAAAATGTTCAATGAGCAAAGAAGTAAAAGAAAAAAAAAAGTCACCCTCCTCAGGTGGATCTCTGAGTTCAGCCTGGTCTACAGAGCAAGTTCCAGGACAGCCAGGGCTACACAGAGAAATCTTGTTCTCAAAAACTGGGGGCTGGGAGGATGAGAGGGACACCTTCATCACTGTCGTCTCTTAAGATCAGCAAAAATCAGTTCAGTAAGTATTCAAAAACTTATCTATTAATTTCTGTGGCCAATTTTACAAAAAGAAAAAAAAAAGTTTACAAACAGCTTTCATGATCTTTTAGAGGAGAAAGGGCAGAACAAAGTTACGTTTCAAACAGGGCACAAAGAAGCAGAAAAAGATTTCTTTGAAGCCAGTCTGGTCTACATAGGGCTGCCAGAGCTACACAGTGAGACCCTATCTCAAAACAAAAACAAAAACACACACTAATTAATTAATTAAAAGTTACATTTCGGCCAGCCGGTGGTGGTGCACACCTTTAATCCCAGCACTCAAGAGGCAATGCCAGGCAGATCTCTGTGAGTTCGAGATTCAGGACAGGCACCAAAACACACAGAGAGAAACCCTGTCTCCAAAGGAAAAAAAAAAAATCAAATAAATGAATAAATAAAAAGTGCATTTCACAGTTTTGTGCAACCATACCAAACTGAATTTTTTTTAGGGGGAGGGGGTCATTTAGGGAGACAGGGTTTTTCTCTGTATGGCCCTGGCTGTCTTGGAACTCACTTTGTAGACTATTCGAGTGGCCTCAAATGGAGATCCGACTGCCTCTGCCTCCCAATGTTGGGATTAAAGGCATGTGCCACCTTGACTGGCCTGAATACAATTTTTAATCGATCAAATGCAAATATTGAAATACAAACATAAAAGTACAAAAACAAAAACAAACAAACAAACAAGTGCTTTTATTTTTTCCCATTTTAACACAAAATGTGAACCTCTATCAAGTCATTGGAATCAATCTTGCAATTTCACAATGTACCTAGGGTCCTCTTAATTCTACATTAGTACCTAACCTTAGAAATTCAAGAATGGGGTGGAGAAGGTAGATCCCACCTTTAGCCCCAGCATGAGGAAGGCAAAGGAAGGGAGATCTTGGTGAGTTTGAGGTCCACCTGGTCTACATAGGGAATTCCAGGACAGCTTAAGCTGTTACACAGAGAAATCCTGTCTTGGAAAAAAAAAAAAAAAAAAAGACAAAATTCAGAAGTTGTGTGTAAATACTTATCTATTTTGTAATACTTCAGTTTACAGCTCACTGGACCTAGTTGCTTTCATTTAAAGAAAAGGCAATCAAATACTCTTGATCTTACAATACAATTTTACAAGCCTAATTAACTTGTTTGTTTGTTTGTCATCTGTGTGTGTCGTCTCCCCAACGACACACACAGGGGTTCCCTGTGTAGCCCTGGCTGTCCTGAAACTTGCTCTGTAGACCAGGCTGGCTAATTTACTGTTTAAAAGTGTGTAGAGTCCAGAATTTTGACCAGCTCAAAATACAGACACTTAAAGTTTTACCATCACATCTGTTCCTGGATGCAAATAACTATCCAAGTGTAATGGTGCCCTTCATGGTAAATTCAGGAAGGGGCAGAATTTCTCTGTACTCACTCCTCTAGCCCTGCCAGAACAAAATCAAACAGAGGCCTATACAGTTTAAATTGTACGTGCACTGGGTTTGGTGACATAGACCTTTAATCCCACCAGTGGGGAGGCAGAGGCAGGCGGATCTCTCTAAATCCCAGGCCAGGCAGGGCTATGCAGTGATACCCTGTGTCCAATTAAAAAAAACAATGGGCTGGAGAGGGCTTGGCAGTGAAGAGCACTGGCTGCTCCTCCAGAGGACCCAGGTTCAATTCCCAGAATCCACATGGCAGTTCACAACTGTCTGTAACTACAGTTCCAGGGGACCTGACACCCATAGCAAAACACCAAGGCATGTAAAACAATTATTTTTTTTTTAATTTAAAAAAAACAAAACAAGCCTGGCATTGTGGCATAGGCCTTTAATCCCAACACTCAGGAGGCAGAGGCAGGAGGTTCTTTGTGAGTTTGAGGCCAATCTGGTATACACTGAAAGTTCCATGACAGTCAGAGACACATAGAAAGACCCTACCTCCAAAAACAAAACCAAAACCAAAAAACTACTGGAAAAAATTCAAGAAGAGCAAAAAATTAACTCTCAATACAACTTTTAGAGAAAAGTTACTATTATTAATATAAAATTTTAGTACCAAGAATAAATCAATTTCAGTGTTGATTTTTTTTTTTTTTTCATATTTAAAACTCTAGTAATTGGAGCAGGGCAGTGGTGGCACAGGCCTTTAATTCCAGCTCTTGGGAGGCAGAGGCAGGTGGATCTCAGTTCCAGGACATCCAGGTCTACACAATGAAACAAACCAAAAAAAAAAAAAGATAAGAAAAAAAAAAAAAAAAAAAAGACTCCAGTAATTGTATTCAAAGACATGCAAAGCAAGTTTTGCTTTTAAACCAGGAAAATTAATACAAGTTAGCTAAGTACACAGACCAGACATAGAGAATACAGTAGTCTAACTGAACAGAAATGTTTGAATAGAACTTCAAGACTAAGCCACTTAAACTAGGATTTTTCAAAATAATTCATTTAAAAAGTTGTCCATATGGTATTTCGTGTTACTGGCTAGGTCAAATATGGTACCGTGTGTGAATATGTTACAGAACTACATTTATTACATGGGTAGGGGGTGGGGGTGGGGAAACAAAAATTCATAGGAGAATTTCTATAGACATTCTCTATACCTACCAAAGAATGTCTATTCGGATGAATTCTGAAGACATAATTTTTTAAAAAATCCTCTAAGACTACAAAACTTTACAGCTGAATGTTCATGTGAACTAAAGTTAGAGCCTTTGAGAAAACTGCAAGAATCGTCCTTCCCAATTGTACAGGCTAACAAACTCATGGGTCACATAACACACCTTCTAGAAGCAAAGTAAAGCACTTGCTCTATCTTATTTTCCTGCTTTAATATAAGTCCTACTCAGAAACATGGCCAACAAGTTCTCCACAAACTTACAGGGTACATTTAACTCCATTATGCACTCTCACTGGCAGACGGGGAGATGACGTTGAGCCTGTTCTCTGAGTTACAGAGATGGTTGTAGTAAGGGGGAACATCTTGTGGACTGTCAGATGACCAGCCATTATTCTTTTTCATTATCCTGGCCTCTCAAACAACTCAGACAGCAAAAAGAGAACCAGGTCGGTGACCATCAGAATAGTAACACCGAACTAACAGTAAGCAGAAAACAAGAATGGGATGATGGAAAGTCTCCCTGCATTTCTCCTAACAAAGGGGCAGAGTGAAAAGAATTCCTTGATCTTGTAAACTGAAATAGCAAAAGTCAAAAAAATAAAGCATGCACAAAACCTACTACATATTTTTAAACTTGAACAATCACTTTATGAAGTTCATGACTCGGACTCGAAATTTCAACTTCTAATCTCCATTTCTAAGTACCAAATTCCAGAAAAGCTTTATCTTTCTCTTTCTTCCTAAATAA